CTTTCTTTTCTCTCCCTCCCTTCTTCCTTCCTTACTTCCTTCCTTTTCTCCCTCCCTTCTTTTTTATTTTTAAAGATTTATTTACTGTATCGTGTGAGGGTTTTGCCTGCGTGTCTGCATATGCACCATGGGTATTCAGGGCCTGCAGAAGCCAGAAGAGGGTGGATACCCTGGATCTGGAGTTACAGATGGTCCAAAGCCGCTATGTGGGTGCTGGGAACTGAACCTTGGTCTCTGCAAGAGCAGCCAGTGCTCTTAAATGCTACTCATCTCCCCAGCCCTGTTTCCTTAATCAGGCATCAAGAGGTGGTTGCTACTGACGCTCTCACTACAATGTGTAGAACAGTATCTCACAAGGAAAACTGTCAGCCTGATGTCAGTCAGTGCCTAAGCTGAGAAACCCCTAAATCAGAGAGAACTATCATGAGCTCCCAGTAGTCCCGAGGTTTCTGTAGTGATAGTCTCAATAACAACCAGCATAGTTTGTAATTCCAGTGCTCCGATCATCTGAATAGCTACTGTGTGCCAAGCTGGTACTCACAGCCACCTATGCTGTTCAGCATCCCCTAGGGTTGGTTTGTAGCCAGTTTTCAGAATGAAACGCCCTCTACTCCTGCTCACAACTTTTTTTTGTTGTAGATGCATTTTTTTTTCTGGTCATGGTCTTATCTTCTCTGTCTCTCACATTTTAATGGATCCAATTACAGGCTTAGTGCATGTGAGATAATAACACCCCCAGGAGGAACTGATGAGGCAAGAGGCCATTGTGTCACTGAGGGTGTGAATCTGAAAGCATCCAGACAAACAGGCCTCAGACCCATAACTCAGTCACTGAGCCCTGTGGTGTGGTGGTAGCGCAGAACCTGGCCTTTCGTCCGCCCTAAAGTCCTTCAGTGGATTTTAAATGGAGCAGATTTCCAGTTGGGGGGGGGTTCTGTGATGGTTGATTTTCTGTCAGCTTGGCACAAGCTCCAGTCATCTGGGAACTAAGGTCCTCAGTTAGGAAGCTGTCTCCATCCGAGGGGCCTGGGAGCATGTCTGTGGAGCACTCTCTTGATTAAAGGTTGGTGTAGGAGGCTGAGCCCACTGTGGGTGGTGTCACCCCTAGGCAGGTGGTTCTGGGTTCTATAAGTAGGCTGAACAAGCCTTGGCGGCGGCGGGGGTGGGGGGTGGGGGTGGCAGGTCAGTAAACAGCACCCCTCTCCGGCCTCCCAAGTTCCTGCCCCGACTTCCGTTCACGGTGGGCTGCGAGCTAAAGGTGAAACAAACGTTTTCTTCTTTGGCTTCTTTTACTCATGGTGTTCATCACAGCAGTAGAAAGCAAACCAGGACGAGATTCTGCTGGGTGGCAGCTTTCTTAGGAGCGGCTTCCTCGTCCTCGGGCACCGTTTACGGAGCTCCTGAGGCGTCTCACCCTGGATATCTGCCTGCTTTTCCTCACCACGCTCCTTACCCTACAGCCTTTCCTTCTTCTGCAGTAAGAATCTGGCCTGGCAAGGGGCCGACCTCTTCTGCCCCTTCTCCGCACCCAGCACCCTGTGGGCTGTGGTCCCTGAATCCTGGTGTTATCGACACCTCACAATGGGGGCAGGGCACATGCCTGGCTCTTGAGAGGAGGCACACATGATGCAAGACTTGCTCAAGAATGGGATTTTATATTTGGAAACAAGCTGGGGAGGGGGAGACAAACTCACTGTCTCTATAAAATGCACAAATGAATGAGAAGCTTGGAAGAAACCTTTTTGTCTGTGGAGAGTGTGGTTAAGGGCCCCTATCCCAAGAAGGCATGCACCAAGCCTGCCTGCGGGTGCCCACCCCCTCCAGTGTGGCGTTTAATTTACATTGTCAACGTGATTGGATCACGAAGCATGCAGGGCATCAGTGAAGCACACCTTTCACTGTGTGTGTAGTCTGTGTCTGTCTGGCATTCTCCCCCGCCCCCGCCCCCAGCAACTGAGCAGGGAGGGCCCACTGGAATCTGGGCGGTGCCGTCCCATGGACTACAGTTCTCACTAAACGAAACAGGAAAAGACAAAACCAGGTAAAAAGCTGGAACCTTCCCCCGCTTCTCTCCGTCCTGATCTACCCAGATGAGACCAAGCAGCCCTACATTGCTGCCACCATGCCTTCCCCACCAGCAATGGAGTGACCCAAAATAACTATTTTCTATCTTTAACTATGTCTTGTAAGAACTTTGGTTATAAAAATGAGAAAAGTAACTCATGTCTATATGTCACATGCTTTCTCCTACACATATATACATATGATAAATTTAAGTTATATAATAAGCCTATTAAGAAATTAACAATAATAACTGAATAAGCTAGGGTACTTGTATAATATATTGTTCACCTTATACTGTAAGTACTAGAGGGGGTGGTAATTCACGCTGCACGGATACACTAGGCAGCGGAGGACGGTGACACATCATAGTACTCACAGGGGGGCTCAAAGCTTATGGAAAAATTTTCTGGAGTTTGCCATGTAATAGTTTCGGACTAAAGTTGACTTGGTAAACTGAAAATACAGAAAATGACATTACAGATAACAGAATGTAGTCAGGAAGTGGTGGCCTTTGATCCCGGCACTTGGGAGTCAGGGGACAGCCAGGGCTACAAAGAGAAACAAACCCTGTCTTGAAAACTAAAAACAACAGCAAAGAGCAAATAAGAAACTGGTATTGTGCATGGGTTCATCAAATCCAATGTTAATGTGGCCATCGCATGCTTATGAAAAGAAGAGGTTAAAGGGGGGTGCTGAGGGGCGGGTTGGTGTGTGCTTTGCTTTGTCATGTCCAAGGCTTTGTCTGCAGTATCCTCTTTTCAGTCTCGGTGATGGGGCATGCCTGTAATCCCAACACTTGAGGGGCTAGGGCAGGATTGCCATGAGTTAGTTCAGCATTAGCCCAGGCTGCACCGTGAACACCAGGACACCCAGAGCTGTCCAGCAAGAGCCCTGCCTAAAACCAAACCGTACCCCAAACAATAGCAACAGCAGACCCCTGGTCAGTCCGTGCGTCCCGCCCAGTCCTTTGTGCACATCCGCTCTGTGCCTCCACCTTGTTTGTGACTTCTGTGACAGGCGCCATCCTCTCCGTGTAGCTGATTGAGTTCTGGTGGGGCCAGTACTTCTGAAAGAATTTTGAGAGTCTCACCCTCCCCAGTAAACATCCGAGGGCCTCACAGCGAGCTCCAACATCTAGGCTGAGATGTTCTGAATTTGAAGATAGGACGTGGGGAATTCAAATTCCTACGTGCCGTGGTTCAGAAATCACATTTTGGAAAGTACCGTGGAACTGTAAAATGGTCTTTCTAGAAGCAAAACAAGTCATTTTAATCAAGGCTGCCTGATTGAAACCTCTCATTGGTTTGTTCAATAGTAGTTAATTGTGACCCACAGGCAGTAGTGACCATCTTACAGGAGGCTATGTGATGCCCTTCATGGTCATGTCTGTGGCCTCTTCTTTTGTCTTCGTCCTCTTTCCCAGAAAGTTTGGCCTTCCTTGATATCCATTTAGCGAGGCACAGGTCAATAAAGTGTGTTCAGATGGGAGTTGAGCATGTGTGCACGGATGGCATTTGCATGCTGATAGAGTATTGGCCATCCTTGGGATTTTGAAATTGCAGAGGAAAAAGGACATTGATGTGTTATCTCGGCCCTCAGAGCAAGCCTAGGAGGCTATGTTGCAGAGGAAACTGTGGCTTGTGGTGTTACCCTCCCAATCTGGAAGGAGGTCGAATGGTTTAGTGCTCAGGTCTTACCCTAAGTCTGTAGTGGCATTAACTCAGCCTTCCACCCCTGCTGGTACCCTATTGGCAATATGTAATATCCATCCTGTTTGGTCCCAAAGGCCACTCAAATGGCCCCATCACCGTCCCTAGCAATTAGCAAGTGAAAGATTGGGTCACCTAAGAATGGGTGTTGACATTTAGTGTGAGTATATAGAGTCCCTCCAGAAGCACAGGTATGAGCCACTACTTTGCTTGTTAATTAAGACAAACTATTTTAGGCAAAGTCTTACTAGTCACCATGGCTGGCCTGGCATTCTCTATGTGCGATCAGAACTTGCTGCAATGCTACTCTAAATCTGGGATTATTGGCGTATACCACCATTTATTATTATTATTATTATGTCTTGTTTCTGTTTGGTTCAAGTGAGGCATTGGAATCTGCAAATAAATTTTCTTTGAAACATTAGAGAAAGCCTTGCTGGAGCTGGGGCCTTTTTTTCAGCCCATAGTTTCTGAGCAGCAGATTCCGATACATTCGTGTAGAAAGAAGGTCACTCATTTCCTACATTCAAGGTTCAGATCACTAGCAGTGGAGAGGGCTAAGACATGGGGCTTGGGGGGTGGCCTCCAGCAGGGCTTTCTGTCTGGGCTGCCATGTGTGCGGCTACTTGGAGCCAGTCAAGGGGTGCAGAGAGCAGCCAGACTGATGAACTCCAGCTTGGAAGCTGTGCCCTAGAGACCGTGGCACTGGGCTGAAGGAGCAGCCTTAGAACTTCCCAGCCCTTTCTCCGGCCTCTTCCTCCCCTTGTGTCATTTGGAAGCGTGTCTTCCGTCTGAACTGGTGTACACGCTTCCATCTTCTCTGTTCCTTCACAGCCCTGACCCCGGTGTTTCCCCAGAAGACAGCAGCCTTTCCACTGTGCTCATGAGGAGCTCTTCCCGGAAGGGCCCTTTCCTGTGCCTTGGGCTCCAAATCTGTTAAGTGCTTGCTGTGTCCCCCAGGATAGCCATCTCCGTGAAAAGAGTAAAAACTCACTTCAGAGTTTTGTGATCTTTCTTATTGGATGTCCCCTGCACCTCACACCTCATTGCTTCCTTCAGTTGTCCAAAATCGTCCCCATCTCACAGGGCTTTTGGGAGGGTAACTGAAACGTCAGCAAATGCATACTTAGATGCATTCCACTTTATATGTGTAACGTAAATTTACTTAATGCATATGCTTCAGTTTCCTTTCTGTTGCTGTGACAAATATCATGACCAAAAGCAGCACAGAGGAGAAAAGGTTTATTCCATCTTACAGACAACAGCTCGTGAGGGACATCAGGGCAGGAACTCAAGCAGGAACCTGAAGTCAGGCCACTTGCTGTTCCGAACAGCATTCACCACTGCCAAGGAACTCACTTCACAGTCGTAGAAGAACAGCAGAGACCATGGAGGAGGCTGCCTGCTAGCTGGCCCACAGGCCATGCTTAGCTAACTTCACAACACAGACGGGGACTACTTGCCCAGGGAATGGTGCCGCCCACAGTGGGCCAAGATCCCTCTCACATCAACATCGAAGACAGTCCCCACAGACATGCCCACAGGCCAGTCTGATCTGGCCAACCCTCCCCTGAGACACTCAGGTGACTCTCGGCTCTGTCAGGTTGACAGTTACAGCTCTGTTGCATGACTTGGTGCTAATCTGGATCCTTTGCTTAGGAGGACACCGAGGTGATGGCCATTAAGAGCACCGACCTGGTTCAATTCCCAGCACCCACAGGCAGCTCACAACTGTCAGTCACTCCAGTACCAGGGCGTCTGACACCCTCACACAGACACACCTGCAGGCAAAACACCAATGCACACTAAATAAAAGTTAATTATGTATTAAGAAAAGAGACAGACATTAGGTGACTTGTCCAAGGTCATTAGGGCACCAAGAGGCTGGGCCGGGATGACACTCAGGCTTGTTTGTATTCTAGAGCTGGGTCTTATAACTGGTCAGGTTTGCCCCCTCCTAGGCTGGAACCCAGTAGGGGAATGAGGATATGTAGAGCAGCCTCTAAAGCCTCTTACCCTCCATTTCTGTTCACGGCTTCTTCTCCATGTCTGTACTAAGCGTGTCGAGGCCCAGGAAAAAAATCACCGGTTCTCTTGTTGGCTCACTGACTACAGGACACAGTCTCGGCTCCTAAAGCTGCCACTCAGCACTGTCACTGGGTGGTTAGGACGCACACAGCACACGTGGGGTTCCACCCCGGGCTTTGCTACTGAACTTGTTCTGTGACATGAGAGAAGTCATTCCACAGCCTGGCAGAAGTTTCCTCATCAGCCAAGGAAAGGTGGGAACAGTCTCTTCATTTCTTCACGGGCCTACTCTCTTTGGTGGCTTCCGTACCCGTGCCGTCTCTCCCTTTGTGGTAAAAGCTCTTTCCCCCATTTTTACCTTCTCGCCAAGCTCTCAAGCCTTGCCAACTCCCTCTGGGCTCCGTTGCCCTGCTGGAGCCTCCTTTTCCTGCTCATCTGATCTTCACCCCTCCCCCCTGCGCTCTTCCTGCACAAGACTGGTTTCCTCTCTCCTGTCCAGCGTGGGTGAGGACCCACGGCCCTTTCTTTTCTGTGACATATGTTGGCTTTGCGTGTCGTACAAGGGCAGGAGGCTTTGAGTGGAACCTCTGCCTGAGAAACAACTTCAGCTGTTACATCTGGGCCCTCTGTCGGGGGAGCAGAGGTCACCAAGTCAGAAGGCTGTCGTGGACTCTGATGAAGTACAGAGGGTAAAGTCATGAGCAGCTGAGTTAGGGAGTTGGCACCGCACAGACTGAACCCCTTGATGGCCCTGCAAGAAGGGAGAGAGGTAAGAAGCCCTGATACGCCCCAATCCTCCCGACTGAGGGCCCGGGCTGCAGCCTTTCCTCTCCAAAGCCCAGGAAGATCCCAGAACATGGCTTCAAAAGGGAGAGGGGACTGGGTAAGGGACATTGCTTAGGTAGGAGAGCCTGATTTCAGAGGCGGGGCAGAGTCAGAAACAGTATCCTAACACTTAAGATTCTTTGCTTCTGCTTGAATAGATAAGGGGGTTGTGGCCGCAGGATGTACTGTCCTAGGAACCTATTGGACATTTAAGGCCCTGTGTTTAGGCTCTTCTGCTCCTCAGCCGGGCATATCATATATGGTCCCTCCTATCCTGACCCCCTACCTGATTACTAGGGCCTAGGAAACGCTGAGGAAAATGTGACCACTTTCACTTAGAAATTCCACGTAGGAGAAAAGTTGACCCTAAACGGAACCTAGCCAGGAGTTGGGAGGCAGATCCGAGCAAAGGAGTCTAAGGCATCCAGACAGAAATGGTGAGTGCCAGGAATTCAAACGCAGCAGGGGACAAAACAGGAGAAGCCGGCTCCCTCCTCAGTCTAAGGGAGACACGTCAGCCTGAGCCCCGGCAGTTTCCGAGGTCCCGGGAGGGGCGACGGGAAGCTGGGGACGGGCTCTAGGGCCCCGCGGCCGGGGCCGGGGCGGGGTGGAGTGTAAGGTTACAGGGACTGGACTAGCGACCCTCCCGGGCAGCTCGGGCGGGCGGCCGGGAGCGCGGGGCGCTCGGGGACCCGGCAGCGGGGTGGGGAGGGAGGGACTGGAGGGGGAACTGGGCATTTCTCTACTTCCCGAGCGCAGGGGCGCCCCTCGCCGCGCCGCCCAGCCGCCATCCCCCTGCCGCCGCGCTGCCTAAGCCAGGATCAGCCCATGATCGCCCCATGCGGAGGGCAAAGTCGCGCCGGGGACCCTGCGAGCCTGTGCTGAGAGGTAACCATATCAAGCCCGGGGCTCAGGGAGGGCTCCCCGGACTGGGCCGAGAGGTCTCCATGGTTCCTCCCGGGAGCCCAGGCTGACATCAGCTCAGCTCCAGATGTGAGGACTTAGGCGGTCAGGTCGGCGCTGGGGCCTCTGAGTGTCCCGTCAGGGATCCAGAATGTTCAGTAAGACAAAAAGCCGAATCCGGTGCCGTGCCACCCTCGGAGTGCCCGGTACCTACGGGGCGGATCCCCACGGGAGCCCGGGGACTGGCATCCACGCGCGCGGGCCCCTGACCCAGGGACTGGCCTTTCCGGTGTGGCTGGTGGGTCCCGGTTGCCGGAGGGGCGGGAGGGTTGGCGGGTGCTGCTGCCCCGGCGCAGACAAAGGCTCATGGGGCGTCCAGCCTGGACCCCAGGACGCGCCCTGGCCAGGAGGCTCGGGCCCCCTCCACCCCTGCGCCGCCTTCTTTGTTCTCCCCAAACAAGTTTCTTGCACAAATGGGAGGGGGGTGGTGGTGGTGGATCCGGCTTTCCCTGGCTCGTTGGCACTGCCTTGAAAAGAATCTGGTTTCCGGGAGGAAACGTAAACTTTCCAAGGGGGAGTTAGTTGAACTTTCTTGGAACGTGACATTTGTGGCAGGCTGGTGAGTGGCATGTCGGCCCACGAGGGCCCTTGACAGCCCAGAGGACCCGCTGGTACTGCCTCCTAGTGAGCCATGCTGGGGGATGAGGTCCCCTGGCCACGAATCCTAGGCCTGTTCCCCCCCCCCCATCCTTTTCGTCTTTGGATAATGTTTGCCTTTCTGCCTCTGTCGTGGGTGTATCGTCTCTATAATCTGGACTGCAGTACAGGACACAGGTCTTGATCCCAAGGGCCTTGAGGCTTATGTTTTTGGATGGAATTTGGGGCCCTCTCCTTCCTGCTTCTGTCTACATGGTTCTCTCTCTCTCTCTCTCTCTCTCTCTCTCTCTCTCTCTCTCTCTCTCTCTCTCTCTCTCTCTCTCTCCTCTGAAGACTATTAAAAGTTTGGCGGGTTTTGCTTATAAACGTCCTTAGTGGTGGTGGAGGGTGTGATGTCTCAGAACAGTGTCAACTTGTTCACCGGAAGCGAACACAAGCAGACTAGGGGACTATTAAACAGATACAATTCCAGAAGACTCCTTTTCAGGGAGCGAAAAGCCAGGGCTTGAAGATGGAACGCTCCTGGCTTCCTGCTTCCAAAACTAGGCTGTGGATCCTGCCAGACTGCATGAGAGTCTCCCTGGCAGCCGACCACATGGGGCCCCGCTTGGCATTGCCCAGTCCAACATCGGTGCTTAGGGATCTCCGGGGTTCAAGATCTTGACGATGCCAGGGGAGCCGAAAAAGCGCTTACTAGGACCCTGCTCTCAACATTATATGGCTTTCTTTTCTCTAAGATGGCTTTTTATGAGAATAACGAGGGAACAGTACTTTAAGTTGAACTGTATGGAAGGAAAGCAGAGGACCAGAATGCTTAGAGAGAGAGCAGAAAGAAAGAGAGCAGGGTATGGAATAGAATGACCTAAACACCTCTTACTCGGTGGGTTCGTGGCGCGCGTGCGTAGGTGATGATGAGATTTCAGGTTTTTGTTCTGTCTCGCATGCCACATGTTTTCCTGGTCCATCTAGGGGTGCTGGGCAATCGAGAGGGTGCTGTCCCCGCCGCCGCTCCCCTTCCCCTCCCCTTTTGAAAATGCACTCACATCTAGGTGTTTCAGGTTCCGTTCAGAAGGTGTGGGCCGGAGTGTGCTAAGAACACATGGGGATGGCAGCATTTATGAACGCATCTTTCATCCACAGCGGCACATGAATGCAGGCGTGAGCGATTTTCCGGGAAGGTCCTCTGCTGATGAGAGTCGACAGGGCTTGCTCCCCGCTAGCTTGCCTGTCTGGAGCTTCGCTGGGTGGCACCATGCTCTTTCTGATGTCCAACCCCACCCAGATGTGTGACTCTAGAGCCCAGGAGGGGGCCTGAATTAACTGATGTGAGGCAGGGACTCTGCTGGGAGAACAGAGTGCATTCCCCCAGGTGTGCCTGTGTCTTCTCGGTGCTCTGGAAGTGCTTTTGGACACAGCACTTCCAGAGCACCGAGACACTTTGGCACTATAGCACCAGAGACACTTTGGCACTATAGCACACAGGACTTAAAACACCCAGCCACAGATCAACGGAAATGCTAGGGGCACGGTGAAGCTTTGCTTTTCACACCAATAAGGTGAACTTTATAAGAACTGTTAACATTTCTGAGCGTGCCCCTGCGTATGGAAGCTTAGGCCAGGAATTTTGTAGTATTTTGAATGTTTTTGTTACCATCGGAGGGTTCTTATCACCCAGAATTCAGTAGGAGACAGAATCCTTGAAAAGCAAGAGGTGAGGGAGTAGGTCAGGCCAGAGGATGTATTTGATTACAAAGTTTGCTAGGAATTGTCTGAGGTTATTGAGGTTTTTATGTTTGTTTGCCTAGAGATTTTTTTTAAAGTCCTGTTGGTTTGACTTTGCTTTGTCTTGGAGGAGTGGTTCTGTGTGCAGCTGGCCATGGTGGGCAGGTCAGTGCACTACTTTGTCCTGGAGGAAGTTGTTGGTGCACTCGGATGTTGTGCTGTTTGGGTAGCACCCTTGTGTCATTTGTGAAACCCTAGGGTGCATTCACCCCAGGCTCTGGGCAGAACTCCCCGCTTCCCCAAGGGGCTTGATTTTGGTTTTTTTGTTTTATTCTCTCCCCTTTCTTCTTAGGAGGAAGTAGAGAAGTAGGTGTTAGGTGGGTACAGCTTTTTAAACCTTAGGCTGTTGAGCGTGCTTGGCCGTGTGTTTGGGGGTCTCACTGGGCAGTGCTGCCGCTCCCTTGTCTCCGTTTCTGTCTGTCATCCTTTAAGTATGTCTGTAGTTCACTCAGCATTCACTTTCCATTTGAAGTGATCACAGCTTCAGAGGATGTCACAAGAATAGTAGGTACTCTTTCTCTTCTGCTGGTGACCAGTACATTGTCACGGCACCCTAGCAGAACAGAGGTGCAATCCTCAGAACATGGACGGGGGTGTTCAGATTGCATGCACGTGTGTGACATGTGTGTGCTATGTGTGCACCTCCCAAGCACTCTGAATCTAGTTCCACAGCCCACATGCAGAACTATTCCGATTCTCGAGGTTCTTCCTGGTTCCCTGGTTATGGGGGCACCTGCCCTCTCCTAGTCCTCCGTCTCCGAATCACAGCAGTACCCCCGTACCCATGATTCTCCACACCTCTGTCATGTTTTAGGTAAACAGATCCTTGAAATGTGGAACCTTTGAGATCAGCTCTGCACCCTGCGCTGTTTCCATGAGATCCACAAAAGGTTTTGTTTGTATCAATGGTTTGTTCCTTTCCATCGCCGAGTAGTGTGCCACGCTCTGGATGCACCGTGGTTCGGCCGTGCAGCTGTTAAAGGGCCCCCCGGTTGCTGTTAGTTTAGTACCGATAAGGTTTCTGTGGATGCTCTCAAACAGTTTTGCGTGGATATATTTCTTCACTATTTCAGATAGTACCCAGGAGGCTAGATTCTATGTGTGTTGTTAATAAGATAATTGCTATACTCTTCTCCAGAGTAGCCATTTCGTTTTAGATGCTTCCCTGCAGTGTAAAAACCTGGCTTTTCTGCATTCTGACCAGCATCCGACAGCGCTGATTTGTCCTTCTCCGAGGCCCGCAGGCTTAAACATACTCTGCACACGCACTGTCTGCACACCCTCTTTGGGGAAAGGTCCATTAATTCATTTTCTTCTGCTTCTTTCTTTTTTTTAAAAATTTAGGTTAGAAACAAGCTTGTTTCACATGTCAATCCCAGCTCCCTCTCCCTCCCCTCCTTCCCATCCCTCCCCGCCATGCTCCCCAGCCCCCACCCAATCTCCACTCCAATCCCCAGGGAGGGTGAGGCCCTCCATGGTGGATCTCCAGAGTCTGTCATTTCATCCAGGGCAGGGCCTAGGCCCTCCTTCAAGAGTCCAGGCTGAGAGAGCCTCCCTCTTTGTGGCATGGGCACTCAAAGTCTATTTGTACACCAGGGATAAATACTACCCAAGGCCCCATAGATTACCTAGGCCTCCTCACTGACACCCACATTCAGGGGGTCTGAGTCAGTCCCATGCTTTCCACATAGCCATCAATACAGAGTCCAAGAGCTCCCCCTTGTTTAGGTCAATTGTTTCTGTGGGTTAAACCAGCCTTAACTCCTTTGCCCATCAGTTCTCTCTTTCTGACACTGGATTCCAGGAGTTCAGTTCAGTGTTTATCTGTGGGTGTCTGCCTCTGCTCTCATCAGTCACTGAATAAAGGTTCTGTTTGCCAGACTCTCTGGCAGTGGGATTGTATGCTGGCACTCCCCTGATTTATGTCTAAAATCCATAAATGAGTGAGTACATACCATGTTTCTCTTTTTGTGACTGGGTTACCACACTCAGGATGATTTCTTCTAGTGCCATCCATTTGCCTGCAAATTTCAAGATTCCATTGTTTTTTTTCCCCAATGAATAGTACTCCATTGTGTAAATGTACCACATTTTCTCTATCCACTCTTCAGTTGAGGGGCATCTAGGTTGCTTCCAGGTTCTGGCTATTACAAATAATGCTGCTATGAACATAGTGGAACAGACATCCTTGTTGTATGAATGTGTATCTTTTGGGTATATGCCTAAGAGTGGAATTGCTGGGTCTTGTGATAGACTGAGTCCCATTTTACTGAGGAATCTCCATATTGATTTCCAAAGTGGCTGTATGAGTTGGTACTCCTACCAGCAGTGAAGGAGTGTTCCCCTTTCTCCACATCCTCTCCAGCATAAACTGTCATTGGGATTTTTGATTTTAGTCATTCTGACAGGAGTGAGATGGTATCTCAGAGCTGTTTTGATTTGCATTTCCCCGATGGGTAGGGATGTGGAGCGCTTTCTCAAGTGCCTCTCAGCCATTTTAGACTTATCTACTGAGAATTCTCTATTTAGTTCTGTACCCCACTTTTTGATTGAATCCTTTGGTGTTTTGGAGACTTGTTTCTTGACCTCCTTGTAAATTTTGGAGATCATCCCTCTGTCAGATGTGGGGTTAGTGAATATCTTTTCCCATTCTGTGGACTGCCTTTCTGTCTTGTTGACTGTGTCCTTTGCCTTACAGAAGCTTCTCAGTTTCAAGAGGCCACATTTATTAATTGTCTATCTTAGTGTCTGTGCTACTGGAGTTATGTCAGGAAGAGCTCTCCTGTACCAATTTGTTCAAGGGTGCCTCCCACTTTCTCTTCTAACAGATTTATGTTGAGGTCTTTGATCCATTTGGATTTAAGTTTTGTGCATGGCAAAAGACATGGATCTATCTACAGTCTTCTACATGTCAGCCTCCAGTTATGCCAGCACCATTTGTTGAAGATGCTTTCTTTTTTCCATTGTATAATTTTAGCTTCTTTGTCAAAGACAAGGTGTTCATAAGT